GGTGGGTTTGGGTAGGTCTTGGTAGATCGTATGGGTTCTGGGTGGGTTTGGGCTGGTACTTCCGTGAGCGTAGCTTTACGTGGGTACCCATGGGTTTGATATTTTCAGAAATTCCCGTCTCTGGTGGAGAGTGGAGAGTGGAGAGTGGTTCGAAGTTGGATCGTCCGTGTTTGGTAAAGTATGCGTCACAATATCGAGAGTCGACCATGGTGATTGCGCACCTTGTTGCCCCTGCAACCCTGCCAAACCTTCCAGATTCTCTCTCAGTATTGAGCTACAACGTTCTCTTACCGAACAGCGTCGATGCTTGGTGGACGTACAAGATGTACTCTCCTCCCCTCTCGGAGGAGAATCGGCACGTCGCCGCATGGTCACATCGTCGTGATCTGCTCAAGAATCGCATCGGCCTGGTGAACGCCGACGTCGTGTGCTTGCAAGAGGTTTCTCCTGAGTCATTTGAAGACGATTTTGCCTTCATGGCGGAGCTGGGCTACGATGGTTGTGAACTCTTTAAAAAGGACGTTTCCGCCCTGCCACTTTTTGGAAGGAAAGCAAAATCACTCTGGTGACTCCTGCGGCGCATAAGGACAGAACACTGTTGACTGCCTTCAAGCTCAAACGTCAGGAAGGAGAAGAGCCACAGGAATCTTGGTTTGTTTTGAACTGCCATCTGCAGGCTGGAAAGGAAGGCAAACGCCGATTCCGACAAATTCAGGAGGGTACAAAAGCAATCATAACAATGGCAAACAAACTCAAAGTTAAGGATCCCGCATCGCGCGTCAAGGCAATAATTTGTGGAGACTTTAATGGAGGGGAAGAATGTGGAGCAGTGCGCTACCTAGAAGATGGCTTCGTCGACACTGGCTTTCGCGAAGACGGAGAACAAGTATCGTCAAACAGAAAGGACCTTCCTTTGAAACCCGTCCTCCAAGACGTGATGAGTTGTGCGGGACATACTCCACCTCCAACCATGGTAGTTGCCGAATTGATCTCGCAGCTAGTTCAGGACAGTGGCAGCGGTTACGAGAATCCAGTCTTGTCAGATGGCGTCGTCGCGAGGCTGAAACGAATTTACGAGTCGAAGGCAACACTTGAATGCAGAAATGAGATGCGCATGTCACGTCAAGATGTTGAAGCGTGGCTAATCGACATCAACGGCCGCGTTGGCAGAGGCGATGAGTTCCGCGAAGCGGCTCGTCAGATAGGCTGGAAGCCTCCTCAAGAGGGAATGTCTCCTGATGAGATCAAGGAGATCATTTCGCTGCCTTCCGAAGGCATTCTAACTCTAGAAGGATTCATTGCTGTGTATCAGAGAGAATTGAATGGAGGGAAATTCTGGAGTATCAATCATGATTTGTCATTATTGGGTCAACCGCTAGATGACTTGGGGCTTTTCACTGCTAGATACGACAGGATGTACTGCACTGGGGCTGTGAAACCCGTGGCGATTTTGGATTTCCACTCGGATAAGCCATGTCCAAATGCTGACGAGCCGTCCGACCATCTTCCCGTTGCAGCGTGCTTCCTTCCGAGCTAAGTGCGGTCTATCTCTTCTGCCACATAATTGAAGGAAGTATATGGATTTGCCGAGCTACTTCGTTTGCCAGACTTTCTTTCGCCGCACTCAAACGATGGCCTTCGAAGCCATAGACTATGCATACTGGTTGGTCCTATTCCTTGTTGCCCAAGCTGAAATCCTCTTTATGTGAATCCTTCTGATCAATAGGCGTGCAACTGCAATTAAGTTTGGATATGTCACATCGCATTCGAAAACGTAAATGCTTGATAGAATCGACTGTCAAACAGTCATCACTGACCAGTTTTTGAACAACAGAATGAGTTCAAACCAAGCGACGACTACACGGAACAGTAATGGACCAGTACCGGTGCCACACTTCAGGAATCCATAGGAACTACCGGTGTATGTTTAACATGAACGTGCGACGAGGGAGTCAATGTGATACTAGCACACTCTGTTTTGCCTTTGGATACATTTTACATATTGAGCCCTTCTTGTTAGAGAATTCGTTACAAAATACGGTGTTTCTTGAAGAATCTCGCCACGTGACTGGCCTGGATGTACGACGCAATAACCAGGACAGCAATATGTATCATTGGCCAGTATGCAGTGGCACGGCTGATAGCAATCGACCTGCTATGCACCGTGATCTCCTGTTGTTTGGACCATTCTGCAAGATTCAAAATCATTCCGAGTTTTCGTTCAAGACTTTGCAATTCCTTCTCGATACTCGAAACTGTTTGATGAATATCTTCCATATGCCGGGCGGCCTCTATCGCTGGATCAACGTAGGGTTCCATGTCAACTTTCAATGAGAATCGAGCTGGTGTGTTGGGAGTAGCCGTCATGCATTGAATGCAAATTTCAACGGGAGCATCATCACGGGGGGACGAAATGAAGGTCAAGGTTCCACGCTTTTCTTGGATAATCTCCCGAATTCGCTGAGTACCCCGTTCAGCATCTTCGTTGTCGCGGTGACGGCGATTTCTGGTGTTGGTTTCACTGTCGAACTTTTGAAACATGGCGATACTCACATCGTTCATTTTTCTTCCCTGCTAAAAAAAAACACACACACACGGATGAGGTTGTTAATCAATCCAACGGGAATCGCATGATTTTCGAGTAGCGGTAACTCACCATTTTCGCCATCATCTCCATTTTCCGTTTGTATCGTTCATTATATCTCCTGGAGAGCTCGTCTTGATCCATTCTACCATCCTCGGCCGCGACCTCCTTGGCATCGTGCGGGTCTTCCATATCTTCAGCCATCACGACTATGTCAGGAAAGTGATAATTGAGAGATATCTGAGTGTTCCGAGGAGGACTGATGGAAATGCACTTAGCCACCTTTTCAGACAGGACGAAATACGGAAGACCATCAACAGCTACGAAGGTGATCGATATTAGGAGCAACACTGCGGAGGACTTCATTCTCATCGAGGGCGGGCAGGTTTTAACTTTCGATTTTTGGATGTGACATGGGTTTGTTGTTTGTTTGTACACAGTGCGGTGTGTGTGGTCGAAGAGGCGGTGTACCTACTGCCTACTGTACATTCCGGACGAGTGTAGGTTACGGTTGGTTGCTTGATTTGTCCTACACTGCCGCTACTACGGTAGGTACGTCAGTACTTTTGTGGCTGAACTCTGCTTGAAACACGAAGCAACATGCAACGATGATGTGTCTCCGAGTAATGCCATGGTATCGTGCAACACCAGAAGCAATTACCAACTGTGATTTCAATAAACATCATTACTTTTTATATTACATCATGAGACCATCGCAGCTCAAACGGAGTGTTCTTACCGTACTTAGGAGTAGCAGTTTTGAGACTGAGATATGCTAGATCTCCTCTATAGAACACGATCTTGAGGTCACGAGGACTTGCATACTGCCGCCAGGTTTTGCCTCAACGCAGACAGCCAGTGTCTGAAGAGGCATCAGGAACATTGCGATCGATGATTCGAAGTCGTCGGTTCCTGATTTCGTCAGCGCTACCGTATTCAAGGATAACCTCGCCAGCGTCTTAAATGCTTGAATTAGCACGACGCAGCAATCTGCGCTCTACTTACGTCAAGGTCACGATGTTGGCGCAGTTGAATACCCCATGGCATCGAGCAACGACTCTTCCAAGTGCCCCATCGCATACTGTAATGTTTCGTCATCGTACATGTCCAACCGATTCGGCAAAGCATCAACTTGCCACGGAGCATGAAGTTGAAAATTATGGTGAAGGCGTCCTCCAAGACATTTACACACACTTTCCACAAGTTCTTGTGGAAAAAGCATCACATCCTCAGCTCTTATCAAAAGTCGCGGACCCAAATGTTGTGATAGCCAGGGCTCGTACCAATCATTCCACAAGTGGGCCAGCGATTTATGCGTCGTCGTGTTGTGAAAGGTCGGGTAACGGATCAGAACCGCTTCGTCTAAAGCTGGACAATTACTGCGAAGCGTGGTCTCAAGTTCCAATTCATGCGGCCTTTCACGACACACATTGGCCATCCAAGGCAAGGGATCCTCCACCACAACGATTGGCAACACAGTGTTCGGAAACGTCCGCAGCGGAAAGTGGTTCTCGACGTCAACATGGTATATCATGTCGGTGAACGTGTCGTCTTCTTTGAGTTCGCAATTTTTCTGCATCAATTGAGAAAATATAGATACGCGATTCTGAAATAAGCCTCGCACTGTTATCGATGCCCCGTCACCCTCCTCAAGCAATCTTCTGTAGTGCGCACATGTATCTAGTCCAACAATCCTGGCACCAGTCCCATACTGATCCTTCGGAATTTCGTTGCGAATTACGCTCTTATGAGCTTTCAAGTAAGCCCCTTGAGAGATGGCGCCAGCATCAGACATGAAGCTATCTCGATCGGATAGTTTAATGGAACTAAAGTCCACAGTAGGCCCAAGGAAGACAGTGTCAACGACAACGATTTCAATCACAATACACGTCACCAAAATTAGGAGCAATGCCAATAAAGCCTGGAGCTGCTGAGAGTTCACATTGTTTTCGGTCTTTGGCGGACGACGGCGTCTACCACTGGTCATCAGATGCCGTTGCTTTTGAGCAGCACGATTTGATACTCAACAGAAGATGTGATGGGGAGGTTAGGCTGAATTGGAATTTTGAGGTGCGTTGGCAGGTTGGCAGTGAGCAGGTGCATTGAGTGTAGGTGCTAGTAAGCTAGTTACATACTTAACGGCAAGTTGCCAGCGTGACTTTGTGGCGCGTGGCGCGTCTATTTACCAAAGTTGGAATTTCCAACGCACATGTAGGAAAACAGGAAAACACAATTTCGGCTGACACGCGTGGGTATGATCGTATGATCCAAGAGGGACCAGGTACTAGTACTACGTATTACAGTCGTATGCATATGAATAGGAGCTCGATTTGATTCGATACTTGACAACAGATGAGTTCGAAAATTGGTAGGTTTTATATTATTATACTATCCCTCCTGCAAGTATTGTCTTTACGGGTGAGTGCCGGAGTGGTCTAACGGGTTGCACTTGAAATGCAATGGCGCAAGCCTCGCAGGTTCGAATCCTGTCTCATCCGAAGACTTTTTGCTTTTCTGTTTAACCGTCGGACGCAGCGCTTCGAAGATAGCCTGACACTGCTTACTGATTGCACTCGTCGTTATGATATATCTAAGTTGTATGCGTACGTCGTCGACCCCGCAACTTTGCTCGTTTCGATTTGAACTCTTCAACTTCACGCACATTCCTATAAATTGGAGACCACAACTGGTTCAAGCGGATTACAGAGGAGCACAGTTTCCAGCTACTATCAGCATATCGGCGAAATCGAACATCCCTGCATCGCGACGCTTCATAAAAATACAAAATGTAAAATACCATGTAGTGGAGGGCAAGAACAAGTTATGGTAGAGGGTTCAGACCGAACTGGCCAGTTAAAAGAAACCACCAGTTCCGGCAGAATGGGGTCCCAAAAACTCATCGTCGTCATCCTTGTCGTCCTCTGTGTAGAAACTCTTTCGCCGTGTGCCTTCTTGCAGCTTAGAACTTTGTTGAGTACCACGACGTAGCTCTGCTTCCGCCTTGGTTTCCAAAATGTCCAAATCATTGACGATAACTGTGCACTTGCTCCGCTTGTCGCCACTTTCGCGGTCGATCCAAGAATCGACAGCCAATGATCCAGATACGCCAATGCGGGCGCCCTTGTTCACATATTTTGCCGCATACTCAGCATCTCGTCCCCAAAGTTCTAAATTGAACCAATCGGTGGCATCCTCTTGAATCTTGAGCGCCCTTCGTTCCAGGGGGTGATACTTCCGCCGAACAGCCAGGCTCAGGTTCAAAACGACTTTACCGTTGTCAAAGTACTTGGGATCAGGATCATTTCCGACTCGCCCTACCAGCGTAATGCGGCTGAATTTTGGAACATGGTTCGCCCATTCAGGGGCCATTGCTTCCAGTTCTTCGTTCGAGAAGCGAGGAACCGCTTGGTTAGGGTTTTGTTGCACTTCTTCAGCGAGGTCATCACCGAAAAAGTCACTTCGAAGCTCTTTTGACAATCGATTGAAAGGAACTTGAGGGATGAATGCAAGTGCCTTTGTTATGGATAGGCTCAAAAGCAGGACTGCGACGTTGACCATTGCAGAAGGATAAGGGTGACAAAGGAGTTCTGGTCTCAAGTTTCGTGGCGTCGTTTTGTTTGCATGCGAAATCCGCTTTCCGTGGCTCGTATTTGTATCTTGCGAGTGCATGCAGTTATGATACCTGGTACAAGTACAGCAATACGGAGATACGAAGTACATACTGTACAACATACAGTATCTCACATACTCCCCAGAATCTGGACTCGAGTATGTCTGTGGTACTTGTACTACTGGTACCCTGTGACTCTTGGCTCTTGACTGTGACCCAAATACTCTCTCATGAATCCAAATTCCCGTACAGTGCCAGCCGGTTTGTATGGCGCTTAGCGGTGTACAGAGCACTGGTTTACGTCGTGTACAGTAACTTTTGCTCCAGACCTCATCTCATTCACATCAGAAACCTTGTTGGCGCCGGTACAAGGTTACTTTGTCTTCCCGCAGAGGTGCGCACGATGCCGTCGTCCCGACGGATAGCTGTTTCGGTTGCCCTTGTGACCGTAGGAACTTTGGGTGCCGCATTCTCGTTTTGGCTGTATCAATCTGTGAAGGATCACGGATGGGAAGGGACATTGCGCTTCATTTGGGAAGGGGAATACTACCCTGACGATGTCCTTAGCGCATTGGAGATGCTAGAATCTGCAGAGACTCAATTGTCTGTGCATATCTCTGTCATAGAATTGATTCAAACATCGTTGGCTCGTGCGAAACTAAACAGTGTTGATGATCAATCTCGAGTCAACAAGGACGACTGGGCTGCGGCACATCTCCCATCTAACTTGGAGAAGGACCTTGCCACACTCAGCTTCGATTTGGACAGAATGGCAGCTACTGTTGATGCTGTCGTGTTGGAAGATGTCAGTCTCCGACCCAAAAAGAAAAGGATATCTCAAGATATTGTGACTGCTATGGAAAAGGCAGATGCTTTGCTTAACGTTTATCAGCGCAAAAAATCCGTGACGCAATAACTAAGCCAGGCCCTATTATGAAATATCTCTTTGGGATGCAGATAGACTTGCTCCTCGTTCACTCTCGAAATGGACCTGCCACTGAGGTTTTCGTGCTTGCTTTCGGACTTCGCCACGTTCACGCTTGTGCTGCTCTGACAAAGCTCGGCCCCTCTCCTTGTCCTGGAGATGCTTTGCGGTGCCTCTCGTCCTTCTCAATTCTCGTTGGATTAGTTTTTGTTCTTCAGTCATGCCTCCAGTCGCAGCGCGCTGGAGTGCAAACAACCACAGCCAGGGCAACCAATTACATTCGGGTTCAACCTCGCAGGCTGCTTCGTAGATTGCTTCGATGGTGCTCAAACACTCTTGTCCTGCGGAATGCCATCGCCAGTAGTGACTTGCCGTGGGTGGACTGGTGAGATGAACCCGAGGCAAGCTTGCAAGGCGTGGATCATGCCGCGAGGACGGCTTTGTCCACTTGCAATCCAACACCACCAAGGTATTCACCTGATGACGAACTGTCTGCAGAGGGATAGAGTCGTCAGAGGGAAATAAAACGTACGTCTTTTCGGGGAAGCACTCGGGCAAAGGTTCCAGCCGTTCGAGGTCGAAGACTTGGACTCGCTTGGAACAGTCGTTGTTGTCTGTTGCGCCTTTGCTACAAAACCTTTCACTCAAAACTTTTGCATGCAGTCCGGATGCGACGCATCTTCGATCATGCAGAATGATATGCAGGTTAAATGGCAGGGATCTCATGCCGATTGGACATTCCTCTTCTGGGACTAGAAGCTTGTAGCATTCTGTGCAGTAAAAACATCTCGACGAGCCACAACATTCGACCCTCGTCCGTTTTCCTTTTGTTTCCGATGCTTTCGGGGTTGAAAACGAATCCAAGTAATCCCTAACTATGTCAGAACTCATTGGCTGTCAACACAACCCACTGAGAAAAGCAGAACACTCTGAGACAGTCGTTATGGAGTTGACCGACCGGCCATTTTTAAGTGGTCAAACCGACGGCCATGAACTCTCCTGCCACCTGCGGCCTGCGTCTACAAATACACTGAAAAGTGGGACCGCTTTCAATAAGTGCGAGTAGTATTAGGAGTACCAGTAGAAGCTTTATGTAGCAGTATTCTTAGTAACAGTAGCCTTCACCAGGTACTTGAACTCGCGTATGAGTACTTGTACCGAAGTTCTCGTAATTGATGACAATCCAGAAAAAGGCCAAGATCCAATGCCCCATGGCCTCCTCGTTTGCCGACGATCGACATCCGAAGCGAGCGAAACTTCATCATGAAAATGGCACACACTATCGCGAGACTAAAGGTTTGACCGACTGTTATGAAGAAGTCACAGTCGATGGCAACTTCGAAGACGAAGAGGGTAACCTGCGGCAGAGTTGGATTGGTCGTCAACAGTGGTTCAGCGAGTTTCAACCCAATGAGGAAAAGGCAGCGGAGCGATCAAGGGAAATCATGGCCCTGGATCGACATCTTATAGAAATCAAGCGACGACTGTTGCCTGCGGCAAATGCCCTTTCCAAGATCCACGACACATTGTCACCACTACAAGTCTTTCAGATGGCTCGGCGATTCTGTAATCCTATAGAAGTCTTGGGGAAGGGGAGAGCTGGAGGATTGAACAACATGTTCGTTAATCGATCAGCTATCAAGCTGGCGAATGTCAACGCAAGCATTGGCTTCGCTCTCACCCAAGCCGCAAATGGTGGGTCATTTCACTTTGTTGACCTGTGCGCCGCGCCTGGAGGATTTAGTGAATACTTGCTTTATCATTGTGGGAGGTGCTACCCATCGGTCTCCGAGATTCGAGGCATCGGAATGTCCTTGATCGGAACCAACGAGCATGGTCGCGGCACAGATTGGAAGGTGGATGACTATGACTGGGAAAATATTCGCTATCGCGTTTCCGCAGGTGCTGACGGAACAGGAGACATCTACAACTGGGATAATGTCGTTGCACTGAAACGCGATATCAACGGGATGAGGATTGACGCTGTAGTTTGTGATGGTGGCGTAGACGCACAGCGTGATCATGAACACCAGGAGCAGTTGGCTCAAAAGCTGGTGATTTGTCAAGTGGCGGCAGCCTTGTCGATTGTTAGCCCCGGTGGGAGTGTTGTTGTCAAACTCTTTGGTTGTCAAACTAAATCCATGCGAACTATGATGAAGGACTTGGTACACCGTTGTCGCGATTTTATCATCACCAAACCCATCTGCTCCCGACCAGCATCTGCTGAGCGTTACCTTGTCCTTTTTGGATTTCGAGACGTAGGCTCAGATATGGACTATCGAAAGTGGCGTGATGGAATATTTCTGGGCAAATCTATTCAATGCGTCAGCGGCACTAACATTGAGATGGAGCTAAAGCTCGAGGCGTATCTTGATTCCATTGATTATCACATGCTACATCTCAATGTCAAGGCATGTTCGGCGATTTTATCAAAAATGGAGGAGATGAAGCTAGCACTCAGAGAACACGAAGAGACGTACCGCGTTGACATTCAAGCGTACAAACAGGCATGGAGACTCTAGTAGGCTATGCTCCATTGCTGTCACAATCTGTTAAAAGATCGTTAATCTAGGCCGTGATTGGTGTGATATTGTCGAAGGCACTTGCTGGTAAGGCGTATCACATGTCACATGCCGAGGGTGGCAAACGTGCGTTGCTAACCCTAATTTAGGGTTTTATATTCCAGTCGCGTCTCGCGTGTTACTAACACCGGAGGGCAAATCTACCAATGCACATATACTTTTACTGCATGAAGTCTATGGATATCATCAACAAGTCAACAAGTACTGTACTTGTACCCCAGGTAGATATTCTGGAATACATGTGCATCCTCTTTACTCTCATCTCAGTTAAAAAGTTGGCGTTCATTGGATGACCGAACGCCTTGGTCTCGTCGTACGTGGCCTAACTTCGTCATTTCAATCTCGACGTGGCAGAAGAATTCTGACATTTAGACGCCTGGA